TCTCTCTCTCTCTCTCTCTCTCTCTCTCTCTCTCTCGCTCTTTTATTAGAAATATTTGTCCTTGTATGTGTCATAAAACATCTGAGGCTTTGAGAAAGTCAGTACTGTACATTATTCTACAGAATTGTAATAGAAATATAATTAAGTGAATTGGAATGAATGTTTACTGCCATCAGATTCATTTTTTCCTCAGATGCATCAGAAAGCATTTCTTTTCTCTGTTGTAACAGGAAATGGTATCAAACCCACAACCCTGAGATGCTCAACAGACATGTCAGGCTCAAGTGTGTGATTTAAATCACTGGCTAAAAGTGAATTTCACCTTTTATGGAAGCCACAGCAATGCACAATACTGTTCAAAAGTATCTTTTGTATCTTTTGCCCACCACGGCTGCATATATTTTATCAAAAATACAGTAAAATCAGGATATTGTAAAAAATTATTACAATTTAAAATAACATATTTTTTACATATATTTTTATGCCCTTCAAAAGGCCTTTTGAAGACCATGCATCACACACTATAGGCAGCGCAATCCTAACATCCTGCGCACTTTGCCTATGTCTGCTAACACACTTCTTTCTTTTTCTATTGGTCTCCGGAATTGTCAGTCTGCAGTAAACAAAGCAGATTTCATTACATCTATTACTAGTCATTCAAGAAGACTAAACCCCATGGCCCTGACAGAGACGTGGATCAAACCAGAGGACACTGCTACTCCTGCAGCACTCTCCAATAATTTCTTATTTTCCCTCACTCCCCGTCTGACTGGAAGAGGTGGAGGTACTGGTCTGCTTATCTCTAATGATTGGAAATGTATTCCTTTACCTTCTCTGGGTATTAAAAGCTCCTTTGAATCCCATTCAGTCACTATTACCCACGCATTTTGAAAAACAAGCCCATTTTTGACAACAAAACTTGTTTACGTCCAGCTGATACCCTCCAAAATGGTGCTACAGGGTGACGCGGAGGAGACGAATTGTTGAATAAAGTCGTTTTTTTTTTTTTTTGCGCACAAAAAGTATTCTCGTAGCTTCGTATAATTGCAGATGAACCACTGATGTCACATGGATTATTTTGCTTGCTCTTGCTACGTTTCTGGACTTGGGAACATTTCAGTTGCGTTGCTGTCTACTAGCTTGCTATATTCTTTTTCTATTCTATCTGTTTTCTTTTTATTATAAAATGAAAAAAAAAAAAACCTTGCTATGTGTACTGCCTTGTTATAGCACTTGCATATCATTGCTCTTTTGTTGATTTTGATTGCTTCCATTGTCCTCATTTGTAAGTCGC